GATGAACAACCATAACTTTTCGCCAGGGTTTACAGATGGTGAACGCGAAGAAGAAGAAGATCAAACAATGTTTATTTATGTCCCACGAAACTTTAGTTGAGTCGAGTTGAGTCAAGAATTGACATCACAGCACTCGGGGCATTCCCATGCTTGCTCCGCCCTCTTCTTCAACAGCCAGCGCAGAGTTCCAATACTGATGGCACCGGACACAATCTGGTTTTATGTCTGTCTTGCCTTTCCTCTGAGTTTAGTGAGCCGGCCAGACCCTCTGGTTACACCCAGCTGCCTTTTATCTCCAGGCCATAATTGTTGTGTTTCTCAACTGATTCCTTTGCTTGTTCCCAAAGGGCTTTGACCACATCTGCCTTGAATCCCATGAAACTGTTTCTGCTCTATATTTATTGGTTATTCTGGCAGCATACGTTTTGCTCTCACTCTTGCGAATTCAACACTTACATTCAACTAACTTCTCGTTACATTAATTAACACATATTTCAGTATGTACAGAGTCTGAAGTTTCTTATTTATTTATACGTTTATTATATGATGTTTGTAATTTTCATTGGTGAGCAAGATTGTATTCTTGATATGAAGCTTGAGACTAAGCACAGGGACGCAATCTGGGATCCGAAAACAAATTTTAATTTTATTATTTTTATTATTATTAATCACTTTAAAAACATTTTGGCCTCTTGAGTCCCGTCCCCGATCTCGGTGTCCCCCAAATTCGTAAAAGGGTTAATCTTCTTTTGTATTAACTTAATCCATAGACAATCACCCATTTACGAATAAACATCAGCCATAATCACATGTGTACTCACCTTGGAGGTACCTGATGAAAATGCACATAAATTTGCCAAAGATAAAATCCATGAGTAGAACAGGCACCAGCGTAAAAGGCATGCAGAACACGGCCAGAAGTAGGTCACTGATTGCCAGGTTTAGCAGGTAGACGTTCGTCACAGTGCGCATGCGCTTGTTCTGTATTAGTGTGATGATGATAAGAAGGTTGCCCACAAACGCTAGTATGAAAATGATTGTGTAGAATGTTATTTGAATTTCCGCGCTTAGTCGCGGCGAATATAGCGGACTTCCTCTTCCGGTGATGGATTCGTTGTTTCCGGTTACAGTGGCAGACGAGAGGTTGGAGAAAACATCCGAAAAGGGGAAATACAACCTAGTATCCAAACTAGTGTTTTTGATGAGTCGGCTTTTTGGATCTTCGACTTCGACGTCATATACAGCTAAATATGTCTTCGGTTTTGAGAATGTATAAGGAACTGAAGGCGTTAGATTTCCCCTCGTCTGTAGTACGAAGAGTGGATTCTGTACAATACCGAAGTAACTCAACGCTTCCGAGCTTCTCTTCTGAATCCATACCATTTTTGAATGGGTGTTTTCTTTGGTGAAGCTGAAGTAAAAATACTGCTGTAGCTGTTGATGCGAGGATCGGTTGCGAAAGGTCCCTGTCTTAACGCCGCGGGGTGTCAAGCTGGTCATGCGTCGTAAAACATTGCTTTCTGCGGAGTGGAGCTGTCGTCATTTGGATGTTAAGGATGCAATACCTGTTATGGTAACTATAGCTTTCAATTAGCATCTTGCCTAGTGTGTCCTTCTATCTCTATTTTTCTTTCTATAAGTCTCAATCCATCTATATCAATGTGTTTATTATACTTGTCTTGGCGTAAGCCTTTCTCTAACTTCCAGAATTAGCAACATTTTTCTTCGAATTCAATTACTGGAATTGTCTGATTCGATCGCTTATAATCTCAGTTTTACCATCAGCTATTATCGTTTGACTTATGTACACCTAATGTAATAAGTAATGAATCGTTTAAATGACAACTGTAAACATATTTTCCGTCCCTGGGGTGCTTATGAAACATTGCACAAACGAATACCATATCCTGGGGATGTGTCTGTACGGGTTTATAAACCAGTGAAGCAAATATAGACAAGTCTAGAGCCTCGTGTCTGGCTGGTCACGTGTGAAGATACCCGTACCACATCAGAGTGATATCTGTGTAACTCTAGTATAGCTGGCTCCAGTCCCGTATTCCTGTATAATAGATTTATAAGATAAATGTGAATGTAGCCTGATCTTTACATCTGTCAGTGACCTAATTCGGCATATATATATATATATATATATATATATATATATATATATATATATATATATATATATATATATATATATATATATATATTATATATATATATATGTGTGTGTGTGTGTGTGTGGGGGGGGGGGTGTGTGAGGGTGTGTGTGTGTGTGTAAAGTAAAGATCTCTTTTCCACGGCTTAGGGCATATTGTTAATGTAGGGCTAGACCTATATTTTTATAGACCAATCGACACTTGGTGTGTGATATGGTCAGCATTATGTCGACCGCTTTACTTCCCGGGACTGCCCGTGAACTCAAGGCTGGGTAGACCTTGGAGTCAAGGTCATTTTTGAAGAAAAAGTCCGGCTCCGTCAGGACGCGAACCAACTACCT